GTGTGTGCCTGAGGAGCTCGATGGCCCCGTTGAGCTCTGCTCGATTGATTGTCTGGAGCCCTACGACATGCCCTTGTAGAGTGCCGAGTGGATTTTAATCTTCGTCCCAAACCCTTGCACCCCATCATATTCGCCTGAGGCGGGGATCGGACGAGAAGGTGCCCTCCGAACCATCCACGGAGCCACGGCGCCACCCGCGCCTCGCCTCGGGAGGATCCGGGAACGCGCCAGTCCCAATTAGGTCGGGGCCCAATTCGGACGGGGCGCTTGGGGGTGGAGTCTTCTACAGCCTTCAGAGCGAGACCTGCTGGAATGAGCCCTCGGAGCCATGGACATGCTGATTGATCGTCCCCCTGGGCGGTCTCCACGAGATCTTCAGTTTCCTGGATGAGAGGATGTCCGGCCTGGAAGAGTAGAGGGCACCCCGAGAACTTGTGATAGTCGTCGCAGTGGTGATCCCCGCACATCGGGCAGACTGAATCATCTCCTAGACCTGCCTCGAAGCGGCGCCTGGGACTCCAGGCCGAGCATGCACCGACTGCTTTGAGCGCCTTTGCGAGGTTCTTCTGTCCCTCGCGGCGCCATCTCTGGATCTGCAAACGTGAACTTCTTATGCCAACTCCATCCTGCACTCCTGCTGCATGGCCCCCTTGTGCCCCGCTCCATGCCCTGTGCTGGAGGAACTACTGGAACCTGCGCATGCAATAATCCTGCCCCTGGAAATTGTCTGGCCTTACTTGAAACACTTCTCCGGTGGGGCTTGTCCAGGCCCAGGCTGAATCAGGGCTCCGCCCGAGGTCGATGGGGGGCCCCGAAGGTGGCGCTGAGGTGGCTGACTACGTTGTTCCATCGCCGGGGCCGCTGGAGCATTGAAACTACCTCCGGCCAAGCTGCCGCGATGCCGTTTCTGAGGTGCGGCTCCATTGCGACCAGCTCGAACCACATTCCGAAAAGATTGATGCGATGGAAGATGGCGGGGTCTGGGGCCTCTGGCGGCAACTTCGACTGGTGGAGCCCTGCGGTGAGACAACTACCTGGTTTACTTGTGCCCAATGCGGCCCCTGCAGCCCCCCTGTGCTGGCTGAGCTCCGCGGGGGATACTCCATAGCCCTCAAGACCCAGCGGGGCTGTGGCTGGGCCCATCGCGCGATGCAACCGATGGGCGCTCTTGGTCACCTTCAGGAGCCTCTTTATATTCTTGTGTCTCTTGAGCCTCAGACGTTGCCGAGCCCTGCGGACTTTAAGGAACCTGCGCTTGCCCGCGGCGGAGTCCAGGCCTAAGTCCCTGGTGCCCAGCTTGGTCTTCAAGGGGATGCCGTGGAGCACGCGGGAGTCCTGGACCTGGTTCCTGATGTCATCCCCATTCGACAGGAGGGCCGACTTGGGAGATAACCTGCATCCCAGATCAAGTAACCCAGCCTTGGGATACTTGATGGCCTCGGGGAAGGACGTGCTCAGGGATTCGGACGAGCCAGCCATGCGGGCGCGCAAGTCTTCGACCCATGCCCCAATGGTGAGACGATCGAACGCGAGGTGTGCCCGACGCAGGAGGTCGCGCAAAAAGAGTCGTGCCCAAGCTACGCTCTGACCGCAGCTTGCTAGAATACTGCACTGCGGAATAATTGGTTTGTTGACCCCCATCTCTGCGGTTGGGTACCGTACCGCCAGGTGGGCCATCATCCCGAGACTTATACAAATACTTGGATATCCCATCTCCTTGGCTTTCCTGGCTAAGACGTGGGTGAGGATGGTGTCATCGAATTTCTCAAGATCTAAGAGGCCCCCTACTATCTTAATCTTGAGCTCGGTTCCCACCTCGGCAAAGAGCTCAGATATTAAGTCTGCTCGGAGACAACTCGAGCCTTTGATTGTCGCGTCGCAGTGTCCTGCCTTGGCCGAGTGCCCTGGGAAAGTCTTGGCCGCCTTCAAAGCCTCCTCCTCGGCCCAGGGAACCTCCGGGGACTTATCCTCCATCGCCTCCTCCCGTAGATCCTGGACCCGTGAAGCTGGGATGGGGCTTGTGGCCTGGATCTTCTCAGGGTCCCAGCACTGTTCCCAGTGACTGCTTTTGGACCCTAGGATGTCGCTCGGGCCTATAAGGGTCTCCTCCCCCAGGACAAAGTTATCGGCCTCCTCGGGTGCAACCTCGACCTCCATCTCTCTGGTAAAGGCGTGGGCGGCGCCACCGCCGTGCTTGATGCTGGTCTCCAGCCAGTCTGCGAAACCGTCTTGTCCGCTTCTTGGCGCGGGCCCCGAAGTGCTGCACTTGCCTCTCTAGCAGGTAATGGAACGGGAAAGGCTGGCTGGAGCGCTCCTGCAACCCGCCCCAGGGCTCCCGCTGCTGATCTGTGGTGAGGTCCGACTTCCACTCTAGGTTGACGAGGGCCTTCTCGATGAGCCTCTGGAGCCCCTTGTGGTTGGGCACCGTGGGATCCCGCTTCCTGGCAAGATCTCCTTCCCGGGCGCGCTGTTGGACCGTGCTCCACCGCCTGCTCTCTGCCCCCCCCCCCAAAAAAAAAAGGCTCTGGAGGGTTGGGCGGGAAGGCGGCCCTTGTCTGAAGACGGAAGGGCTGGGCCCGACTGGGGCTTTCGGAGCCGACGCTTGCGGCCGCGGGCGCGGGGCCTTCGCCCGCGCCCATTGGGGCAGAACACCACCATTCCAGGGTCTGGGACAACACAGCGAACCGATGCGTGAGGGTGTCATCCGCATGAGCACGAGAGACTGGATGGTGGACCCCGGGAGCCTCAGGGAACTTCTCGAGGGCCAAAATCTGGAGCTCCTCCCATGAGCGCGGCGCTGCACCGGACATATTTATATATGGGGCCTCCTCGGGGTACGTGCTGGACTTGCTGAGAACTGCCATATTGAATTCTCCTTGTAACCGTAGATGTGGCCTCCAGAGGCATGTGGGATCGGGCTTGACCTCCAGGAGCCTACCTAACTTGTCGGACACCGTAAAAATCAATCACCCTCCCGTTGCAGGTGGAGCCCACCATCGGCTTTATGACAATCCCACCTATGTTCTTAACCCAGAGGCCCCCCCTCGACGAGCTCCTTCCCCGTCATTTTCCAATTTTCTCTTAGGATGAAAGGCAATTTGTGGGCTCTGATGAAGGTGGCTATCTGGCTGGTAGCCTCTGTGTTATAGTTAGTCGTTATACCTTGCATCGCTCTGCCGGCACGTCGCGATCATAGGAATGCTGTGCCCCTTCAAGCGGAGATGGCAGGCCGTCCAGCTCTGTCCACCGTAAAGAGGAGCATCGCGCCCCTTCGCCCCCATGATGCGGGCGCGGGTGCATAAGCTACGCAAGACAACCAACCCTACTCCGCCATGCGACCCCCTGGCTTATGTCTTGGTGGCGGGGCAGAGGTAGGACCTGTAGCCCTTCTTCTTCATGAACTTGTGAACTGCACGGGCTTGGTCTCGCTGAACATGCATTTCGCTAGACATGACAACGTGCGGCCGTGCGAAATCCATGGGCTCCACGTAGTCCCTGGCCTTCCTGTGCCAACTGGTGACATTGGCTAGATATAACTAGAGCGATTCCCCACCTTGTTGCCCCCTCCCATCCTCATCGTCGCTGCGTTCTGCATCTCCCATGACACTCGCGCTGGCAACGGGCGGGTCAAAATTCACAAGGTCATCGCTGATACGATCACTGAGGCTAATAATGTCATCGGTGTTGCTGGTGACGAGACTGGTGGAACTCGCTGTCTGCTGAACGATGTTGCCGCCCTGGCGGCTGGCCCCTTCTGCGGGGGGGCTGCTGGGCATGCTGGGCCGCCCTGCTGATGCTACCTGGGGCCCGTCATGAGTCTGGCGCACCCGCTGCAGCCACTCCGCGGCCCCTGAGATCACTGCGGCTACGTGCACTCGGGGTTGGCGTCTGCTGGGAGAGGCGCCCACGCCCCTCGCCGCCGCTGCTGTCTGCGCCACCCGAGGGGCCTGCGGCCGCGGCGCCGTCGCGCTTGGCTGGCGGCTTGCGGGGTGGCGGTGCCTTGCCCGCCTTGGCCGCTGCGTCGAGCTGCTGCGCGAACGCTTGGGCTTGCTCGGCGTCAGCCCCCTGCGGCCCACCTGCGGCGGCCCGCAGCCCTGGTGGCATCTCGGGGATGGTCGCCTCCGCCTCCTGTGCCATGGCCGCTGCCGCCGTCGCGGTGGGGCCCTGCTGGTTGGAGTCGTCCGCCTCCATGCCCTCGGCGCCGCCGTTGCCCCACTGCGCGGTGGCGAGCTGTCTGGCCTCCTCGAACTTCTTCCGCGCTTCCTTGAGCTCCGAGGTGACCTTGGTGCGGTCGTCCTTGGCCGCCTGGAGCTGCACCTCGAGCTCCTGCACGCTGGTGTCGAGCTCGGCCATCCTCTTCTCATGCTGGCGTGCCCGCTGCAACGCTGCGACGGCAGCTGCTGCGGGGGCTGGCTTCTTCTCCGTCACGGGCGCCGCGGCTGACTGGGCGGCGGCCCCGAGCTCCCGCTTCTGGGCGTCGCTGAGGACTCCGAGGGTGGCCGTGGGGATGGGCTTCGTATCCGTGTCTTGTACCGACCCTTTGTCGGTCTCCCGGCTGTTCTGGCTGCCCTTGCCGCTCGCCCTTGGGATGTGAAAGGTCTCGCCACACTTGCACCAGGCCTTTTTCTTCGCTTTGGACGTGAACTGTCAGGCGCTGCAGGACGCGCACACCACATATGGGCGTGGCTTGCCGCGGCGGGCCCATCCCATGGCGACTTGGGTCAGGGCTGGTGGCCTGGGCGCCGTGGCCTGAGCAGGAGAAAAGAAAGAAGGGCTTGGGCCCCAGCTCCTTGAGCCTTATTTTGTCTGTGTTCCTCCTCCTCCTCCTCCTCGTCCGTAGCCATTTTGGCTCAAGGTTTTGAGTTCCCCTGTGGAACAAGTGGATGCCGCTAGTCCGCGGCTAGACTTCCGAGCTTTCAACGTACCGCTGCGTGAGTCGCCAGACGACGCAGCACTATCTTTCCCGCTCTGTTGCCTCTGCCCCAAGGAGGGGCTGGCCGATGGCGCCCTCGGGTCACCAGCAACACCGCATCCAGAATGCGCATGCGTGGCTCTGCAGGTGGTGCACGAACGAGAAGACGGGCGAGAGATGGTGGAACAGGGCGGATTGCACGTTCTGCAAGTCGTGCAAGGTCGCCAAGGGCGCAGCCTACTTCGGCCCGCGCCCAGCAGGTGGCAATGGGGCGAACGCTGCGCAGGCACCGCGGCCTCTCGCGGCCGAGCGCCGCGCTGCTGCCGAGGGAAACGTCTCAAGAAGGAGGCCGCCGCCAAGGGCCGCGAGATCCAGGAGCTCAAGAAGCAGCTCGTGGCGTCGCGGCAGTCGGGCGGCGGGGCCTCAGCGATGCAGGTCGACAGCCCTGGCGCCGACAAGCCTGCGGGCCCCGAGGCAGACAAGGCGGTGCTCGAGCGGCTCACCGCCGCCATCGCCGCCATTGGGGGCGCCCCCGACGAGCTCTTGGCTAAGCCGGTCGGAGCCCGTCTTCACCTCCCCACCAATCGCTGCGCGGCGCTCGAGAAGAAGAAGAAGGAGCGCCAGCTGGCCGCCCTGGACAAGCTGCATGCGCAGATCCAGGAGATCCAGCTGGCCGTCGCCGACGCAGAGAAGGCGCTGCTGGAGACGTCCAAGGAGCTCGTGGCCGCCGAGGCGGACAGGCGCAGCGCCGCGGCGCTGGCGCCGCGCCCCGAGGCGGGCGTCTTCTCTCTCAAGGCGACGATCCCCGCCCTGGACTTGTCAGTCTCCGACGTGGGCAAGATGCTGGAGGCGGTCGGTGCGGGCGCGTCTCTTGCCGAGTCTATCCAGGCTAACTTCGCGAAGCTGCGCGAGCTTGATGCTGCCGCAGCGGAGCGAGGACGTGCACAGGAGAGAGCTGCCGCGGCTGAGCCGCCCACCAGCGCCGCGGCCAGCAGCGCTGGCAGCGCGAGTGCAGGAGCTGCCGACCTTGCCGAGCATCTTCCTGTCCCTGCCGACGACGGCGACCTGGGCGAGCTGCAAGCCTTCTACCGCGTGGTCTTCGACGCCGAGCCCCCTGGCAGCGAGGAGGAGCTACGAGGACACATCAAGCGGTTTGGTGAGCAGCTCAGCAGGGTGTCGAAGCGGCCCCGCGTCGACACGAAGTAAGCTGTGGCTAGGCGCCGCGCTCCTGCTGCAGCTCTTTGCCCCGCTGGGGCGATGCCGAGGTGTCATGCGGGCGCGTGCTGCCAGTCTACATGCTCCCGCAGGCGGCCGCCACCGCCGCGGGAGAAAGGGCGGGCCCTGGGGCAGGGGGCGCGGCCCTTGCTGCCCCATGTCCTGCGTCCTCGGCGTCTTCGGGGCCTGGCGGCGCGGCTATGGCTGGGGCTTCCTGCGGGGCCGCACTCACCCGTGACGCTGAGGGCACCAGCAGCCTGGGGCGCCTCAAGCGAGCGGGCAGAGAGGTCAGGAAGGCTCCAGCACATCATCGTGATGGCCGTGGAGGGGTTGGTCTGCTCCAGCGGGCGGCCGCCGCGCCGCTGGAGATGGGGCGGACCCTGGGGCAGGGGACGCGGCCCCACCATGGGCAGTGGCAGCAGGAGATGGGCACGCGCCCAAGTTCCACCTGCCAGACTACATGTCTCCGAGGTCGGGCTCCGTGGTGCTCGAGTCGGTGGTAGCTTCCCCGCCCAGACCTTCGGCCGCATGCAGCGATCGAGGGTTATCACACACAGTGTCAGGACACAGTGATGTTTCAGTCGGTTCGAGCAAGCCGGGCCCGATCCGCGGTGTGATTACAGCTAACACATCATCCCACGGTCCGCTGTTAGATATGCTGAGCGCCCATGGATTTGATAATTACCTGATTCTTGTGCAAGAGCACCACGCGAGAGACGACCGTTTTGCTGAGTTGCAGTCTAAGGCGGCCGCCAAAGGGTTTCGTGGTGTGTGGGCAGAGGCGATTGATACAGGCAGAGGAGGTTCATGCGGCGGCGTAGCCGTGATCGCGCCTGTCCACGTTCTCGTCTCAGCCCCTCCCCAGCGCACCGACCACGTGCTGATCCCAGGGCGTCTGGTGGCTGCACATGCTCACTGGGGCCGTGCAGGCGGCATCGTCCTGCTCTCCGTGTACCTAGTGGTCGGAGAGGGCCTCGGAGCCCAGAACCTGGAGATTGTGCAGACGGCCATCGACTACGCCAGCCAGCTGTCGCGCCAGGGTATAGCGTGGGTCATAGGCGGGGACTGGAACATGGAGGGCGACCTGTTGGACGACTGGTTCCACGCTGCAGGAGCCATCCGTGTGGCGCCGCAGGTGCCTACGCGTGCGCAGTCGCTCCCTGGCACGGTGCGCGACTTCTTCTTCGCATCGCTGTCCCTGGCCCATGCAGTGGGCGAGCTGACCGTCGAGGAAGGGACCGATCTCTTTCCCGCGCAAACCTGTTCTCCTTGAGTTAGGCCTGGCGGGGAGAAGTATGTGTCGCCGCGTTCCTGATGAGCCACAGAAGTTTAACGTCGAGCCGAAGATTGGGTGTGCGAGGTCCCCTCCCGTCGACGAGTGGGCCCAGATCCAGAGTTTCATAAGCCACGCTGTTTCTGAAGATGATTTGGCTTCTTGCTGGGATGCAGTTATCTCAGGCATTGAGGCCGAGCTCTGTGATCGCAACGACATCGTGAAGGCCTCTGAGCGACGGAAGTGTTGTGGGCGTGCTGGCCCACCTTCGTATTCGTGGAAGCCGCTGCCGAGACAAGCTCCCCCTCAGCCGAAGGCGGAGCTTGCGTGGCGAGCTGTGGGTCGTTGGCTGCGACACTTGCGCTCGGTTCGTACCAGTTGTGTCAGCTTGCCTCTGAGTATGCCTCTGACCCCACGGACGAGAGATTTGACCAGATAGCCAAGCAGTTCTACTTCCTTCAGGGGTTTCTGAAGCGCATCCGCAAGTCGTCCTGGGTGCTGGAGGTGACGACGGAGTCAATCAGGGAGTTTCTTGTGGACGTGCCCTCCAGCTTCTGCAGGGTTGAGTTTGACGGCGTCGCACAGGGTTTCCTTGATGAGATTGAGGCTAAGCTGCTAGAGTTTGCCTACGCTGCACGTGCTGACTGGAAGAAGTGGGTCGAGCAGGCCTTTGCCAAGGGAGCGGGAGTTGCTCAAGTTCTCCCGTGTTCGTGAGGTGCAGGAGCTGATTGCGGAGACGTCGCGGCCACAGCCTTCCAGCAGGCGGACGACTGCCTCGCGGAGTGGGAGGCGATCTGGGAGATGCACAGGTGCGCTCGAGTGGGCCTTCCTGGAGATCACCATGCATGGGAGGCTCTGCCTGAGATCTCGGTTGCCGACCTTCGTAGGGCGTGTGCCTCGTTCCCTAATAAGACAGCCTTGGGCCAGCTTGGGCTGAACCCCAGGTCCATGCTTGCCGTCTCTGATCAGTGCTTGCAAACTGTTGCTGGTCTTTTCAAGGCCTGCGAGAGGCTTCTCGCGTGGCCCGAGTCTCGGATTCAAACCCGCTTGGTCCGTTTGCCCAAACCTACGGGGGGGCATCGGTTGATTGCGCTTTTGAACTCCATGCTCCGCCTCTGGGGGCGGGTGAGAAAACCTGTCTCCCAGGCCTGGGAGAAGGCGAACCGTGACCCTTCCTTTTGGGGCCAAGGGCCAGGGGCTAGTGCGTCCGACGCCGCCTTTGACCATAATATGGAGGCGGAGGCTGCTACGGCGGTTGGGGAGTACTCTGTGAGCGTGTTCTTGGACATGTTTAAATGCTATGAGTGTGTAATCGTGGAGCGACTGTTTGCCGAAGCCAGGCAGGTTGGATACCCGCCTCGGGTGATGTGGATGGTCCTTGAATCCTATCGGTGCCCTAGGGTGTTTCTGGCGTTCGGTTCGGTGTCGCGGCTGGTCGTGACCAATCAAGGCATCCTTGCTGGATGTCGCCACGCCAACACTATGATGCATGTGCTCCTCCACCGTGTGATCGTTAAGATGAGGACCCTATACCCTACGGTCTGGCCCAGGGTCCTCATGGACGATTCCAGCTTTCAGTGGGTTGGTAAGCTGTTTATGTTTAGTCTGATTTTACTCGCCGCGGTTAGATGGTATTGCAGCCAGGTCCTCAAGCTAGGTTTAATCCTCCAAGCGGCCAAGAGTGGGTATGTGGCTACGGCGGTGAGAGTGTCGTCGGACTTGTCGTCGTCTGCTCGTCTTGTGAAGCTCCGCAGCCACGGCCATATGCGAAACCTTGGCCATGAGGTTTTTTTTCTGGAAGGCCTGTGAGGGCCCAAGAACAGCTACGTCTCAAGAAGTTGCTGCGGCGTCGGGACAAGGTGGCCTCCCTCCGTCGTGCTGCGTCCAGCGAGGTGAGTCTGTAGTGGCGCACTGGGTTCATGCCCGCTGGGTCGCACGGGGCTGGGGTCTCTGGGCTCACGGATCCGACCCTCGAGACCCTTTTTCAACCATGGCGGGAACCTTAGTGGGCGCGAAGCGGTCTGGGTCCTTGACGGCCTGGCTTGCAACCCAGCCTGACCCCTGTTATGTCCCCATATTTGACGCGACGGTGCCGCTGGTCCAACGCTATGCAGCTGTAATATGGGACTCGAGGTTCTCGCTAGGCCGACTCCAAAAAGCGTGGATGGCCGTCAAGAGTCGAATCCTCGAGCGGCCGACGTGGAAGTCATGCCGCGGCCCAATTAGCGCAGTGCTTCTCAGTCTACACCGTGTCGGCTGGTCGATGTCTGCTGCGCATGTGCTGGTGGACGACCAAGGTTTTCATATTGATTTGTTGCGAACCGCGCCGCTCGATGTGAAGGTACAGCTGCGGTCGGGGATCCAGAGGTGGCAAGCTAGGAAGATGTTGTCCCACCTCCCTCAGGCTGGGTCCGAGCGTCTGTGGTTCCGAGGAGTGCGAATAGCAGTCCTCAAGATTCGTGACAATGCCCGTCGTGCAGCTTCCCGCTGCTTGATAGGCAACGCTTTGTGGTCGCAAGAGAGAAAGTATGAGGCTGGCCTGAGCGACAGCAGCATGTGTAAGTTGTGTGGCAAGAATGTTGTAGGCTCTCTTGGTCATCAGATATATGACTGCAACGCTGTGTTGAATCATCCAGCGTCCCAGGGCAACTGTTTCCCCGATGATATTCTTTTGCGCAGGTCTGAGCTCAGGGACACGGGTCGGTTCGAGGCGGGAATGCAGGTCTGGGATTCTCTCGAGGCCTTGTATGGCCTCCCGCTTGACCCCGTCGCTCTTGACCCCGTCCCTGACAAGCTCCCTGTGTGCACGTGGGGTGAGACCGAAGCGCCATGGGGGCGGCGTGTCTATACCGACGGTTCGGGGCTGTGGAGCAGCAGCCCCGAATTTAGGCGGTGTGGATGGGCCGTGGTCGAGCTGGGCCCGCGTGGGCTCCCGATTCGGGCCCGCTTCGGGGGGTTGCCTGGCGGCACTCAGACGGTGCCTCGGGCCGAGAGGTTTGCGGTTTTCCCGGCGCTTAGAGTCTGCCCCTTGAATGTGCATGTGGTGTCAGACCACCTGAGCGCGGTCTTGGAGGGGCAGTCGTGGGACCCTGGCCTGCCTGTCAGCGGAGGGCGTCACGCCGCTGTCTGGAGGCAGATCTTTCAGTTGTATGACCGCCCTGGTCCCAGGCCGTCGTTCGAATGGACACCCGCTCACCGCGATTGGGATGTTGTGGTCGCCTCGGGACCCGAGGTCGAGGTGCAAAACTTTTTAGGGAACACGTGGGCCGACTTTTTTGCGCGTATCGGAGCGGACTCCCACGCTGCTGCTATGACGCTTGAGAAGGTCCAGAGTGCCGTGATCACACAGACACGGCAGACTTTCGATTTTCTGTCCAGATTTGCTCAGAGTATTGGCGCGTGCGCCCAGGAGCTCTCGGCCCCGACTCCCATGCTGCGGCGTGCGCGAGAGCGTGAAGGAGAGAGCGGGCTGGCGCTGCTCGGGCACGATCTGCTGTACCACTTCCCATCCTCTGGGGAGTGGCGGTGTAAGAGATGCAATATGTATGCCAAGACCCCCTCCTCCCTCGCCCGGCTCCGTTCTGGCAGCGGCCGCCACTGTGGGCCTAGCGCGTTCCAGGCGTGGCAGGCGCAGGCG